CGAACCACAAGGTCAGCAGTTTGAAGCTACCAGCTGCTCCACGGTAGAAAGAGGAGGCTTTCTGCTCCTGTAAAGATTTATAGCCTCAGAAACCCTGTTCAGGGTCGCTATGGGTGGGAACTGACTCCAAGGCACTTAACAACAACAATAGCAACCCACAATGAAGGTTGTGGTCTTTGATATTTATCAGGAAGTATTTTAAGTCCTCTTCACTTTCAAAAAGCAAGGTTGTATCATCTGCATATCGCAGGTTGTTAATGAGTTTCCCTACAATCCTGATGCCAACGTCTTCTTCATATAATCCAACTTCTATGATTATTTGGTCAGCATACATATTGAATATGTGTTGTGAAAGAATGCAACCCTGGCATACAACTTTCCTGACTTTAAACCATTCAGTGTCCCCTTATTCCATTCAAATGACTGCCTTATGGTCTATGTACAGGTTCCACATGAGCACAGTTAAGTATTCCTTGTAGGCATATATATATTATTCTACCACAGACAGAATTATATTTCATGATAATTCTTGAAATGTTCTTTTTGATGTTGACTGCAACACCATTTCTCTTCAGTTTGTCCTTTCCTGCATAGTAAACCATGTCCAATACACGTTCATTTTAGCTCACTAATGCCTAGAATATTGATGTTTATGTTCCATTTCATTTTTACAACTTTCAATTTTCCTAGATTCATACTTTGAATATTCCATTTTCCCAGTATTCATGGATGTTTGCAGCTGTTTCTCCTCACTTATGCTGTGCCCCATCAGTAAATGAAGGTCCCCAAAGCTTTACTCCATTTTTGTCATCAAGATGAACTCTACTTTGAGGAGGGAACTTTACCCCAGTCATATTTTTATTGCCTTCCAACTTGAGGGGCTCATCTTCTGGCTCCAAGTTAGTTAATCTGCAATTTGAAAGAGATAGGGAGCATGGATTTGTGGAAAGTAACCTATATTTGGGGTTCGAAGATTAACCTGGCTTTAAGCTCTGGATGTGTTAATTCACTGGGTGAATTTGAGCAAGTCATTCTAAGCTCTGTCAGCTGCAGCTCAGAATCTATAAAAGCATGTAGTCATGGTTGTTCTACCCACCTCACAAGGTATTAGTGGATAGGATAAAATCCTCCTATCAACTATTTGAGGCAAGTTATGTTTCTCTCTTACTCCTGACACTTATCATGGGGCTTGGCATGTAATAAGCACCCTAAAAACATTTTCTAGAGAAATCAGTGAGTGGAATGAGAAAGTGTAGGTCTACTCTAAATGTCATAAACATGTGTATAAGCTATCAGGAGAAGATGATTTCAAGATTGACATTACATTCAGGAAAGAACAAAACAGCAATTTCATTGCAGATTGTGAATGCATTTTTAAAATCATTTGTGTATTTTATTAAAGGGGGCCTTGAACTCTCCCTCGTACCCATGGTTCAAGTTTAAAAATGTTTTAAAACCTTTATGATTGCAAAGCAGCCTGAGTAAAAGAAGAAAGGAGAATGGAGCATTGTTTCTGTCTTCTCAAACAGCCCTTCTGATCTGTATGTATTCCCTCAGCACCAACAGTTTTTACTGGCAGAACAGTGAAGTGGAGATAGTGTTCACTGGGCTCTCAACAGACATCAGTTTTAATTATGGCTCTTATGTTGTTGTTGTTATGCGCTGTGGAGTTGGTTCCGACTCATAGTGACCCTGCACAGGGTTTCCGAGGCTGTAAATCTTTACGGGAGCAGAAAGCCTCATCTTTCTCCCATGGAACAGCTGGTAGTTTCCAACTGCAGACCTTAAGATTCGCAGCCCGATTTGTAACCACTACGCTACCAGAGTTCCTTTAGGTTATATAATTTCTCTGGACCTCAGTTTCCTTGTTAGTAAAATGAAAATAATTATAGAATTATTGCTAAGACTAACGCATATAGCATATAACAAATACACAATTCTACTCACTCAGTTTCCTCCTATTTTTAGATTGCATCAGTAACTCAGAACAAAGGACTCTGAAAGTAAGAATATAGCTAGCTTATTATGGGACTTGGAAGCCTTCAAGCAAGCTGACTGATTTGAGCTTGATAAGAAGAATTCAGAAAAGTGTCTTCTTATTACCTAGGGCTGCTGTAACAGAAATACCACAAGTATTTAAGAACAGAATCATTTTCTCTTATTTAAGGAGGCTAAACATTAAAATTAAGGAGCTCTGGTAGCATAGTGGTTACAAGTTGGGCTGCCAACCTCAAGGTCAGTAGTTCGAAACTACTAGCAGTTCCGCTGGAGAAAAATGAGGCGTTCTGCTCCCGTAAAGATTTACAGCCTCGGAAACCCTGTACAGGGTCACTATGAGTCGGAACTGACTCTACAGTTCAGTTACAATAACAAACATTAAAATTGGAGTCCTGGTGTGGCTCTGTGAGTTAATGTGCCAGACCGCAAAGCCGTTTGAACTGCACGGTCAGCGTTCAAGCTCACCAGCTGCTCCTCAGAAACCCTCTACAGGGTCACTATGGGTCGGAACAGACTCGACGGCATTTAACAACAACAACAACAAACATTAAAATCAGTGTTTTGGCTGTGTTGGTGGTTCTTCCCTTGTAGGTAGCCCTGGGCATTCCTAAATTACTTGGTTTGTAGATCATTTTCATATGATTCTGTCTTCCCACAAATGTGCATGTCTCTGTTTCTAAACTGTTTTGTTTTTTTATTACTCAGAAGTGATTAGATTTAGAACCCATCCTACTTGTGTATGATCTAATTGAGACAACAAATAAAACCACAGTTATAAACAGCATTACATCTATAAATACAAGTTTTAGTATTTCAACACAATTATAATGTGATATAAGCTGTTCTGTAACAGAAGGATATCAGTCTAACAATTTGAATTTTCTATGCTTAAAAGAAAGAAAAGGAAAATGAGCTCTAAGTCTTCACATGGTTCTGTAACACTTGCTCTAACCTACCCATTGAAATCTAAAGAGCAGCATCATTGTAAATTCACTGTACATCAGAACTAAACTCTTCGTGTCTTCTTGCTGCTCTAACGGAAATGAAGACCCCTTAGTCCTGGTGTGGCTCTGTGGCTTAATGCACCAGACCGCAAAGCTGTTTGAACTGCAAGGTCGGCAGTTCAAGCTCACCAGCTGTTCCTTGGAAACCCTACACAGGGTCGCTATGGGTCAGAATCGACTCAACAGCACTTAACAACAACAACACCACAGCACAATGGTTAAGTGGTTAAGCACAAGCACGAAGCAGTTAGCTGAAAGGTCAAAGCTGGAGCCCACCTGCAGTTTTTTTTTTGGGGGGGGGGTAAGGGGGGAGCGGAATTCTGGCAAATTAAAATGTAAATGTACAGCCTTGGAAATCTTATGGGGCAACTCTACTCTGTCAAAATGTGTCGGAATGGACTGGAGGGCAAACAACAATATAAAAGAAATACCACAAGTGAGTGGCTTGAACAAACAGAAATCTATTTTCTCACTGTTTAAGAGGCTCAGTCTGAATTCAGGATGTCATCTCTAGGATAAGACTGTCTCTCTCTTTGGCTCTTGGGGAAGGGCCTTGTCTCTTTTCAGTGTCTTTTCCTTGATTTCCTTAGTGGTCTTCATGTGGCTTGTCATTTTCCTCTATCTGTACTTGCTTCTCTTTATGTCTAATCTGCTCTTTATCAATTTCAAAACTGATTAGTCTAAAACACACCTTATATTGATATGGCCTCATACATGCAAACATAACATAATACCCTGTTCCCAAATGGAATTATATCCACAGGTATAAAGGTTAGGATATGCAACACATGCTTTCAGGAGACACAATTCAATACTCAATACAAAACCTGCCCATGTCACAAAAGAAATATCTTTACATTTTAGCCATGATAATATGGCTTCAGGGGGATGAGGTGTGGATGGGGAGATGTGAGGACTAAGCTAAATAAGTAAAACAACAACAAAGACAAAAGAAATGATGCATGAAATCTGTAGGAAACTGGCACCCATGCTGTATCTTACACAATGCACACAAATTCCATCTGAATACTCATAAAGCTTAATATTTCTATTGATTACTTGAAACTGTAAAATCCTAAAGACACAGAACTACATACTGGAAAAAAAAGGCAAATCCCTAAAATAATGGGCACCTTTGATTAAGAGCCAACACCATGCAGTATAGCAAATACCGGTTAGCATTATGGTCTGAGGCTATATTAAGCTTTATATAGCTGATTCTCTTGCCCTAAAAAGCACTTCTATTTGAGTGTGGTGTGGCTCAGGAGATTCATACATGAGGTGGATCAAACATTCTGCATCAAGTTAGTGGACTGTATGCACTTTCTTATAACTGCCAATGGCAGATTTTTAAAATGTCTTGTTTCTACCTTTATTATCATAATCTCTAACCAGCCTATGATTCTGCTTCTTTTTAATCAAGTACGGATTTTCCAATTCAACATTCAATCATAATTAGAAAGAAAGTGTAATGAGCCATTTAAAAATAGTTTATATGGCAGGAACTGGAAGATTATATAAAGCAGGCAAACTAATTAACTGGTAAACAATATGTTGTATATGAATACTGATGAACAGCTTATGGAAATTCACAGCCCTAATAAATTCTAGATTTCTATTGATTTTTTTTTTTTTTTAAGTGAGCAAGTATTAACCCTTTGGGAGTAGTCCCTTTGGAAATTTCAAGCAAGTTTTTGTTAACAAGAGTTTTCCAGTTGCAGTCTTAATTTGTTAAAGTTCTGAAGTATTGGTGAACAGCTGGAGATGACAATTGCATTCTAGATAAATTCAAAATGCATTTGGGAATATCCACAAAGGGAAAATTTCAGCATAATCCACCATAGAAAGGGATGACAAATTGGAAGTCTAGAATATAACCTTTAGGTAGGTGGCTGCTGGATACATTTAGCGAATGATATGAACTTGACTGTAAATGGCAATAAACAATATTCTTTCAACAGAACAGTCTCTGTTGCATGATTGGATGCTATTTTCTAGGTCTAATTCGTCTGCAGGAGCTCATCAAAGCTCCCTCCAGATATAACATTAAAATCAAAATTCGTCAGCTGCCCTCTGGGAATAAAGATGCCAAGCCTTTACTTAAGGAGATGAAGAAGAACAAGGAGTTCTATGTGATATTCGATTGTTCACATGAAACAGCAGCTGAAATCCTTAAGCAGGTAAGAAGGGTGGGGGCAGGTGGGAGCATGGGGGAAATGTTTGTTTCTCTTCATCAAAATTGTCATCAGGTTTTCATGTAGAGAAGCCTGATAAAACTGCAGTTGCCAAGTTTAGGCTGAAAAGTACAGTTTTCAGGATCATTGCAGTGAGGGAGCTCAAAAAGTACAAGTGATTTCCTGAGCCCTTTCACTGAAATGGTAAGTAGTTGGTGTGTGGCCTTACCTATGCATTTGGGAGAATGAGGTTTCTCGCAGCGGAGATTGAAAGGAGGAGGGGGCACAATGGTAGTTTCAGAGGATGGGAATCAGTATAATGCAATTCCCTGAAAGTGGAGATTACTCCAGTCCCCACTTTTCCATGTCTTTATCATTTCTGATACTAGTCACTCATGCATAACTTTCTCTTTCTCTTACCCTGGATTAAGTCAGAATTTACAAGTTAAAAGGACAAGGACACTTGCCTTGGATTCATTAATTTGCTGGAACACCTCATAGAATGCATGAAAGATATTAGACTTATGACTACCTGTTTTATTACAGTAAAAGTAATCAGGATCATCACAAGAAAGAAATGCACAGGTTAAGTTTGGGAAATTTCTCAATGTGGAGCTCCATGTCTCACTTCATCAAGCAGAAAGCTGCCTAAGTTTTAATATTGGCCAGTCCTATAGGATAGGTTAATCATGTCTCCTGAGGCTAGCTGAGATCAGTTTCCCAGGTGAGTTTTTCTGGTCTTGCCAGTCACCACTCACAAAAATCTTCAGTTGTGACCCCCATAACAAGACACCATAATTACTCGAAGGGCTAGATTTCAGGAACCAAGAACAAAGCCCACCTTTGGGTAAAGGTAAATTCTTTATCCCACAGGGATAACACGTTAAGGTGAACAACCATCTGAGCCAGGATCTCAGTGGCTCTGTAGTATATGTGCTTAGACTGCAAACCATATGTTTTCTGGTTTGAGTCCCACCAGCCTATCTGCTGGAGAAAGATGATGAAACTTTTTACTCCCACAAAGATTTACAATCTCAGAAACACTCACTGTACAGGGTCACTATGAGTCAGAACTTACTGGAAAACAATTAATAATAATCTTCCGATCCAGATTTCATTTGCATAATGCCTGACTTGCCTTAAACACATCCTCCTCATGCTGGGACCTCGTTTATTCAACATGAAGAATCCCAAGCACAGTAAAAAGAGGCATATGGCCAGTCACTGAAATTCTGTCTGTCAGTTTGTTACTATCAGTGCATGGCATGCATTAAGCTACATAGATAGGTTGAGTAGACATGCGTGATAAATTTGAAGTCCTGTCTAAATGAAAGAGGTTAGTAATATCAAGAATGTCAACAACAACAGCAATGAAGTAATGATTTTTGAGCACTTCACAATATACCACTGTATTTATGTCCTAGAAAAAAATATCCAAAAAACCAAAATCCCAAAGTGGAAAAAGGTACAGAAAAGATAGATTAGTGGACCCCAGTTTAGAGTGATTCCCTTCCTACCTGTCCCTCCCAGGACTGTTGACAATGTGTAGATACATTTGAATCGGGCTGCGAACCTTAAGGTCAGCAGTTTGAAACTACCAGCCGCTCCGCGGGAGAAAGATGAGGCTTTCTGCTCCCGTAAAGATTTACAGCCTCGGAAGCCCTTTACAGTGTCGCTATGGGACAGAACTGACTCGATGGCACTTAACAACAACAAGTGGCACAGTGCAGCCAGAGTGCTCCTTGGAGGCCAAGATGGCCAAACTTCCTCTCTCATACTTTGGACATATTGTCAGGAGGGACCAATTGCTGGAGAAGAATACCACGTTTGGTAAGGTAGAGGGTCAGAGAAAAAGAGGAAGACCCCCAACAAGATGGATTGGTCAAGTGGCAGCATCGACGCACTCAAGCATGGCAACAGTAATGAGGTTGGCCCAGGACCGGGCAGTGTTTCGTTCTGGTGTACATAGGTCGCTATGAGTTGGTGCTGACTCGATGGTACCTGACAACAAGTGGTACAGTAGTTAAAGTTCTTGACTGCTGGCTAAAAAGTAGGTGGTCTAAACCCATCAGCCACTCTGAGGGAGGAAGATGTGGTGGTCTGCTTCTATAATAATTATAGTCTTGAAAACCCTATGGAGCAGTTCTACTTTGTCCTGTAGGATTGCTATGAGTAAGAATCCACTCCATGGCAATGATTTTTGTCTGTCTATTTTTTATGGTTTTGTTTAGGTTGTCACAATGGAAGGGGCACTCTACTGACAACTAGTAGGTAGAGGTTAGATTCTACAATGTATAGGATACCACCCTCACTAAGTGCCCAACAAAGAACTAGACAACCTAGAGTTCCAGTAGTATCAAGGTTGAGGAACCCTAGTATATGACACTTAGATCCCTTTATCCAACCCAGTGCATTCTTGACTATGAGATGGTGTTTCTCCAATAAGGTGGATGGTATAGATTATTAACTTCTAGACTAAGCTGCATTAGCAAATCTTTAGATATTATAATTTTCTCCCATTATAAAAAGCAAGTATATTGCAGTAATTTCAACCAATAAAGAACTTTAGAGGTAAATAAATACAATCAGTAGCTCTTTATCTTAAGGTTTCATTTGAGAATTTTAATACAGTTCATTAAAGTGTGTAATGGAGTGTGGACCAGAACTAAGAAAAACATCCAGATTTTATGTGAAGCCCTCAAAATGCAAAGAAGCATCTCTTCCCATGAGCCTGTTATAGCAGAGGCTGGGGACTTCCTTTACATTTGAAAGAATGATTTGCTGATGAGGCTTCTCTTTATTAGAGACTCATTTGGCTCACATAACTGGCCATATATCTCCCAAAGGGCAAAGATGGGACAAAAAAGAGATGAAGTGCATCATGGGCATGGAAGAGGGTTTTAGAGTTTCTCCTCTATCTGAATACATGTTGATAAAAAGTTCCCATGACATAAGTGGCTCTTTCCTGGTAGTCTAGAGATACCGTCATTAAAAAGGCAATTATAACAACACATTCAAACAGAAGTTGTATCAGTCTGGTTTCTCCAGAGTAGCAGTACCAGTAGGAGATCGCTTTATGCTTCTCTCTTACTATACACACACACACACACACAGAGAGAGAGAGAGAGAGAGAGAGAGAGAGGTTTCAAAAAGTTGATAGAAAATTTCCATGATCTTATAATTCCATTTTTCCACAAACCGTTGAAGCTCCCTTATATATCTATACTCACATTTGTAAGTCAAAAATTATTGTTACTAGTATGCCAATTCATATATGTGTGGGTTTAATACAAATAAAATGTGTTCAAACTTATCTCTGTAATCAGTGGATGATGCAGACAAATTCTTGCAGTAATATACTTGTCTGAGGTGTGAGAAGGATCCAATCAAAATAGTGGCTTCTTAGGGGATCTGTCTTTGAAATCAGTTAAATTCAAGGCCGAGGTCAGTCTGGGAGGCTATGACAGCAATTTTTTTTGTGTGTGTGTGATTCTGAAGGAATTAGCTATGTAGGATAAACACTGAGCTGCAAACCACAGGGTCAGTGGTTTGAGCTTACCAGCCATTCTATGGGCAACACATGAGGCTTTGTGCTTCTACAAAGATTTACAGTCTTAGAAACCCTATATAGGGTTGTTATGAGTTGGAACTGAATCAATGGTACTTAATAACAACAACATACTTGATAGATTTTGTTAAAGGACACAGGGCGATCCTGGGAGCTTATCATGAAAAAGTTTTAAGAAAATCGAAAATGGCAGTGGTGAGGAAAAATAAAATAGGAAAGTTGTGCTGAAGACTTTTGTGTGTGTGTCACGACAATGTACCTAAGAGAATTTCACTGGGAAAACTTGCCCCATCTATACTACAGCCCTGATCTTGCTCCTTAAGACTTCTTTTTATTCTCCAAGCTCAAAGAAGATTTAAAAGTAACACGATTCCATTCCCTCAGGGATGGTGTAACTCAAAGGGCACAGAATTCTTCAGGGAATGGTTAGCGAGATGAAAACAGCACCTTCAGAGTTTATAGACATAGACGGAGGCTATGTTGAGAAATGATAGCTTCATACTTTGATATTTTTGCTTAATAAAGGTTTCTATGATTTTATAGCAATACTTTTTGACTCTCCATCCTATATGTATATGTGCACATGTGCAAGCTTGCATGTGTGTATGCTTATGTGTGTGTGTGTATATACACACAAAACGCTCATGGAAAAAAATGAATTAAATGATAATAGAATTTTTCCATGAACTTTTTGAAGTCCCCTCATATATATAAAGCAGCCTACCTCATCTCTCTCCCATGTAGTAGCTGGTGGGTTTGAAACTCAGAACTTTTGATTGTGTAAAGATTGTTGTTGTTAAATACCATTAAGTCAGTCCTCACTCATAGCAACCCTGTATAGAGTTTCCAAGGAGATAATTGTGGGTTTGAACCATCAACCTTATGGTTGGCAGTTTAATGCTTCTCCTACAGCACCATACATTTCAATCTAGGAAGCCCTATGGTGCAGTTCTGATCTGTCCTATGTGATCGCTATGAGTGGAAATCAACTCAACAGTATACAACAACACGTATACACGTGTGTGTGTGTGTGTGTGTGTGTGTGTGTGTGTGTGTGTGTGGACTACCCTCCCCCGGGTGCCACAAATGCTTAATGCCTTTGGTTGCCAACTGAAAGGTTGAAATTTGGAGTCCATCCAGAGGCACCTAAGAAGAATGACTTGAAAGTCTACTTCTGAAAAATCAGCCACTGAAAACCCACTGGAGCTCAGTTTTGCTCTGGTATACAAAAGAACACTCAAACAGAAATCAAGTGGAATAGACATATAAACACATTGTCTTAGTTATCTAGCACTGTAACAACAAAATTACTACAAGTGGGTGGATTTAACAAATGTAAATTTGTTTTCTCATAATTTAGGAGGTTTGAAGACTGAATTCAAAGTACCAGTTCTAGATGAAGGCTTTCTTTTCTTTGAGGAAGTTCTTCCCTTTTCAG